GGGGTTCTCAGGGAGGCCGGGGAGGAAATGGGAATAAACACGCGCAAGCTAGAGGGCAGGGGCGGGGGGCTGCAGCCCAGCCCCTTGGCAGCCCATGAAGGGAAGTGACACAATGAGGAATGTGTTTCCCTCTGCCCGTCCCCCGCATGGGGGTGGGATACAGAGCCCTGAGAATGGCCAGACCCCAACAGGGGCCAGGGGGCACATGCTGGAACAGCATCGGAGGGGGAGCAGTGAAGGCGGGGATCTGGGCAGCAAAAGGGGGGTGGCAGGCAGGAAGGGCAACCCTGGGCCGGCGGGGCACTCACCCAGCCCTCTCCAGTCCCCGCGCTGTGGGAGTGTTCTAGGGCCTGTGTACTTGCACATTCCCTGCGTGTGCTGGGCCTGGGGCACCTCCCGGCACATCTGGGTATGGAAGCCATCCCTCTGGGAAACTAGCCCCTTCTGGTGGCTTTCCCTTCTTTCCCAAGGGGACTCAGGGTTATGGAGGCTGGCTGAGCCCTCGGTATGAGACAGAGCTGAGGTATGAGGACCCCTGACCATGGGCAGGGCTGAGCAGGGTGTTCCATTGCACGCTTGCTCACGAGCTCACGTGCTCCCTCCCTCCCTCCCTCCCTCCCTTTCTCCCTCTATGTGTGTGTGTGTGTGTGTGTGTGTTTGTGTGTGTGTGTGTGTGTGTGTGTCTGTGTTTATGTCCCCAACTGGGACTCTCAGTGCAAAAACAGGCCCCCTGGTGGGATGGTACCTCCCCATCCCGGACACCCATTTCCTCTTCTCCCAGCAGGGAGCTGACTCAGTTAACCCCCTCCTGTCCATAATCCAGATATGTCCCTGAGGCTTTGTCAGGGAGAGCCAAGAGCCCCCTGCCTCAGTCTGGCCTGGGGAGTGGCAGAGGCTCCACCATCTTCCATCCTGTCTGTGACCTGCTGGAGCTCAGCCCTGAGTGTTACTTCCCTTTCCACCTCCTCTCAGCTTTTTGGGCTCCTAGGAGACCTTGGGGGGAAGCAGGTGCAGGACCGTGAGCAAACCTCCGCCCTGAAGGGCCGGGTTAGGTGATTTATAGCCCTGCCTTGGAGTCTGGGACCCCCTGAGACCAGGTCAGCATCCATGTGATCATCAACCAGATGCCTGACCTATTTCCTCATTGTCAAATGGAGAGATTCCCAAGATAGCCATAAAAATGCCTCCTAACAGCCAGGCTGAAGATTTTAACTTTCGTAGAGTAATTTACAAAAGACTGTAACACCCACTTTGAAATGATTCTTACAACCGCCTTGTGAGATACTCAGGGCAGCTCAGAGGTGGAACCAAGGCCTCCCAAATCTGAGTCCCAGGCTCAAACCACTTCTTGTTCACTGTTCCACTTCCAGCTTCCTCATCTGAGGCCCTTTCATGCCCTCTCTTGGAATTTACATCCTCGCTGCAGTCTTTCTGACCAAGTGCCCCTTATGTCAGGCAGGAAGGCTGCAGAAACCTGTCTGAGGGTCAGGGTCCTTCATCCAACTTTGCAGCCAGTGCTAAGGAGAGGTGATTTAGGAGAAAACTGAGTCCCAATACTTCTGGTGACAGCGTGGCCCCCAGAGCAGGAGGTATGAGGCCTCCCCACTTTCCTCCCACAGGGACCTGAGGAGTAACGTCATCAGTACTGTGCAGCCCGGTGCCTTCCTAGGCCTGGGGGAGCTGAAGCGCTTGTGAGTGGCATGTCCTGCCCCCCCAAACCTGCCAGCCCTCCCCTTATCCCTGGACAAGGTCCCATGGAGCCCATGAGCAACCACCCCTCCTGCTTACCCTCACTGTCCCTTCTTCTCACCCACCCATATTGGCTGGGGGCAGAAATTTCAAACCCCAACCTCATCTCCTTTTTCACTCTGCTTTCCACATAAGCCCCAACCACACTTGTGTGTCCCTCACAAGCAGATCTGTGTGCTACCACGGAGCCGGCTTGCTGAGGTTGTGTGTGTACCTTTCTAGAGATCTCTCCAACAACCGGATTGGCTGTCTCACCTCTGAGACCTTCCAAGGCCTCCCCAGGCTTCTCCGACTGTAAGTGAGGGGAGAGGGGAGCGGGAAGGCTCACACCAAAGGATGGTTTGGGAGGAGGAAGACAGCTCCAAACCCTTACAGGTCCCTGCATGCCCTTCACTCCCCCTTCCCCTCTCTGGCACCAGGAGACCCTAAGATCTGGCTCACTGTTCCCTGCCCCCTGCAGAAACATATCTGGAAACATCTTCTCCAGTCTGCAACCTGGGGTCTTTGATGAGCTGCCAGCCCTTAAGCTTGTGTGAGTATCTTTTCCCAGCCCAAGGACTCAGACCCCTGCTTTGTTCCTCTGCCCAGGAGGGAGACACCCGGGCACAACCACAGTGGCCAGCCTCATGAGTAGGCAGGACAGACAGTGGCTGAGACTCCACCATATTTGCCTTCCCATGATTGCTGGGCTGGTGCACACATACCTAAGTTTGCCCTCTCCAGCCTCAGTCCCTTCGTGGGGCTCCATCTCCACTCCGTGAGCCCACACTCTACTTCCATGGCCTCTCTACCCACTCTGCAGGGACTTCGGCACTGAGTTCTTGACTTGTGACTGCCGCCTGCGCTGGCTGCCATCCTGGGCCCGGAATCACTCCCTGCAGCTGTCCGAACGCACACTCTGTGCCTACCCCAGTGCCCTGCACGCCCAGGCCCTGGGCAGCCTCCAGGAGGCTCAGCTACGCTGTGGTGAGCAAATCCTCACCCTGCACACCTGCCAGAGATCCTGCCCACCCCTTGGGGCCCAAAGTCCTCTGAAGGACCTGGCTGGCTCAAGGCCCCTCTGCCTGAAGTGTTACTAGGTGATGGGCATGTTCTCTGAAGCATCCTTTCCCTCAGATCCCACTGGGGGTTGTCTTCCAGCAGCTTTTCTAAACTTCCTTTGGGCCTGCTGCTTTATGTTTTCATCTGGGGTGAGATGTGATGTGGAAAGGTGCACTTTTACTTGTTTGTCCAAAACTCTCCTGCTGCTCTCTGGTGCTCCTGTCTCTGGAGACTTTCTCCCGCCCCCTTTCCTTCCCCAGCCCCCAGACAGAGGAGGCCTGGCCCTGCCCCTCCTGGACTCTCCCACCCTGGTGCAGGTGCACACACCTGCGCACTCAGGCCCCGCTGCTCCTGTCTCCCACAGAGGGGGCCCTGGAGCTACACACGCACCACCTCATCCCATCCCTACGCCAAGTGGTGTTCCAGGGCGACCGCCTGCCCTTCCAGTGCTCTGCCAGTTACCTGGGCAATGACACCCGCATACGCTGGTACCACAACCGGGCCCCCGTGGAGGGCGATGAGCAGGCCGGCATCCTCCTGGCTGAGAGCCTCATTCACGACTGCACCTTCATCACCAGGTACAGGCCCCACTGCCCCTTCCCAGCCAGGGCCGGAGGTGGCCACAGCACCATTTCCCACCCCTAAAGGAGCTCTGCCCAGACACCTTCCTGGGAGTATGCCAGCTGTGTAAGAGTGCGCATGTGTGTATGTGTGCTCATGGAAATTCAGGACTAAGTCAGTGGTCTGGGTAAGGGGTAGAAATTAAATGCCTGATAGAAAAAATGATTATATCTGACATTTCTTTAGAGCTTTTACTAAAATGGCTCTCACCTATGTTATCAGACTTAATCTCTCCAATAGACTTGTAAGAGAGGTAGTATCTCCATGATAAAGATGGGGCAAGTGAAGCTCAGGAAAACATTATCACAAGGCCAATCAAAATTAAAGGAGTATGTACTTGTAACTCTCACTCAATTAAAGAATAAAGAACACCGAAGCTCATCCTACACATCCTGGGGCAGGGCACCTGTGGGTGGCCAGACTAGGGGCACTGGGGGGGTGGCATGGCCCCCCAGTGCCTCACCAAGCCAGCCCTGCCCGCCCGCCTGCAGTGAGCTGACCCTGTCTCACATCGGTGTGGGGGCCTCAGGCGAATGGGAGTGCTCCGTGTCCACGGTCCAGGGCAACACCAGCAAGAAGGTGGAGATTGTGGTGCTGGAGACCTCTGCCTCCTACTGCCCAGCTGAGCGTGTCGCCAACAACCGAGGGGACTTCAGGTTCGGTGTGCTCTGCTGCCCCAGAGACTCAAACACCTTCTGGACCCAGCCCCCCACCCCATCCCACCTCTTACATCTGAGACCACAAGTGACCAGGGTCTCCCCATCCACTCTAAGATGGAGAAAACACTTCCTTTATTCATTCAGCTCCAAGTCCTGGTGTTGTATTACGAGACCTCATCTTTGCGGTTATAACCACCATCTGAAATGTGTGGTGCAGAACAAAAAAGTGTATTAATAGTTTACAAAGCTCTCTCACTTGAATATTATATTCAGTATCCCAACTGCCCTCTCAGTTAGGAAGGAGGTATGATTCTCCCTATTGTACAGCTGAGAATAGACCCAAAAAGGATAAGTGACTTGAACTCGGGACTTGGAGTCCAGCCCCCATAGCACCAACAACAGCACTAGCAGTACAAATACAGTAGAAAGAAGGTGGAACTTGGGAACCCCTTGAAGGCCAGCCCCAAACCACTCTTCTGGATCCTTCTCTCAAGGGGTCTGGCATCACAATTCTAAGGGCAGGGGTGGGAGCCCTTGCCTTGAGGGGCCTGGGTCATTGGCAACTCCTGCCTCTGCCCCCAGGTGGCCTCGAACTCTGGCTGGCATCACAGCCTACCAATCCTGCCTGCAGTATCCCTTCACCTCGGTGCCCCTGAGTGGGGGTGCCCCTGGCACCCGGGCCTCCCGCCGGTGTGACCGAGCTGGCCGCTGGGAGCCAGGGGACTACTCTCACTGTCTGTACACCAACGACATTACCCGGGTGCTCTACACATTCGTGCTGGTGAGGCCAGGACAGGGGGTGGGGGGCACCCCCTCAGCTCTGGTTCCAGGGACTGGGGAGGGGAGAAGCCTCACAACTGCTCCTCTGCTCCTTGGGTGTGCACCGTGAGGAGCTCTCGCTCTTATACAGCTTTCCTTCTCTAGGGGATTCAGACCCCCAAGGCCATACTCAGAAGTGCAAGCAACCCCAAGCATCTTCATCCCCCAACACAGCCAGGCCATCTTAAGGGGAAAAGCAAGGACAGAATGAGTCATCCATTGTCCTTGGGCCAGTGGCACTAGAAGTGGGTTGCCCTGAGTCCTGATGAGCTCACTCCTTATGCGTGTGTTCTACCTTGATTAGACCCAGCCGGTGGGCTAGACCCCTCTCCTCAGGCACTGTACCCTAAGCATTAGCACAGAGGAGGGGCCCCTAGGGGCACTTCTCGGGAAGAAGGAGAAGGACTGGACTATCCCCTGTCTTTCCCTAACACTCCCAGATGCCCATCAACGCCTCCAACGCACTGACCCTGGCCCACCAGCTGCGAGTGTACACGGCTGAGGCTGCCAGCTTCTCGGACATGATGGATGTAGTTTATGTGGCTCAGATGATCCAGAAATTTTTGGGTTATGTCGACCAGATCAAAGAGGTAAGATTCAACCAGGCCTCTAGGGCCCCTGGAAACCTCCTGCTCCCCATTTGCTCAAGTCTCTCACACCCCAGCCCCTGGGTCCCAAACCTCACTCATGCCTTAGTGACTCCCTGCCCTGCCCCCCAGCTGGTGGAAGTGATGGTGGACATGGCCAGCAACCTGATGCTGGTAGATGAGCACTTGCTGTGGCTGGCCCAGCGGGAGGACAAGGCCTGCAGCGGCATCGTGGGTGCCCTAGAGCGCATTGGGGGGGCTGCCTTGAGCCCCCATGCCCAGCACATCTCCGTGGTAATGTGGGTCAGCTGGGGAGGGAGCTCCTGGGGGGCCTGACACTGGGAGGGAACCTAGAGTCATCCAGGAGGGAAACGCTTCTCTCTCAGGCAGCAAGCCCTCCAGCTGTGCACCTGCCATGAACACCTAACTGGACCAGATTCCCAGTCGTGTGGCATCAGATCCTGAGCAGTCAGGGACAGTGCAAAGAGAGGGAGGCCAGTGACACTGGAGAAGTTACGCATGACGTTGTGGTGGGGAACTAAGTTGTAGGGGGATAGCACTATGGTGGAGTGTGGAGTAATGGAGACCTCTTTCCCCTGAGATGAGGGTGACATTTCCAATGGTGGGTTGTGAATCAATTAACAACCATAGCAGAGCACCTTCTACGTGCAAGATATTGTGCTTTAAAAAAAAAAAAAATGTTTTAAGAAAAAAAAAGATATTGTGTTGATACCTTCAGGAATACAGGAACTTAGCTGGAGAAGCAGAACTAGTCCGTGTTAAAAGGGGCACGAGATACAAGGTGGGGCATGAATGAGTGGGAGGAAGGGCTTAGGAGGAAGAAGGCACCATGGCCCAGGGCTGGGGAGACTCCATGACAGACGTAAGACTGGTCAGGCCTGGAGGAGACAGTGAGGAGTCCAGGGTAGAGGGACAGGGCCTGAGCAGATCTGCAGGCAGGGATTGCAGTCTCAGGCAGGAGAAGGCCAAAGCAGGGCTGCCGTGTATCAGAGGGATGGGTGACAAGTTCCCTGTCCCTAGAACTCGAGGAATGTGGCACTGGAGGCCTACCTCATCAAGCCGCACAGCTATGTGGGCCTGACCTGCACAGCCTTCCAAAGGAGGGAGGCAGGTGGGCCCGGCACCCGGCCCACAGGCCTTGGCCAGAACCCCTCTCCCGAGCTGGAGCCCCTGGCGGATCAGCAGCTCCGCTTCCGCTGTACCACCGGGAGGCCCAACATTTCTCTGTCATCTTTCCACATCAAGGTGGGCACTGGGGCACGGAGGATACTACGAGGGGAGGTGCCAAGATGCAGGTGCCTGGTGGGGGTGGATGACGTGAGAGGAGGCTGGACCGGGAGAGGAGTTAGGGGAGGCAGGAGGAAGACATCAGAGTCCCAGGGGATCTTGGTGTCTCTGAGGAACTCCGTTGTCCCCCCCAGAACAGCGTGGCCCTGGCCTCTATCCAGCTGCCGCCCAGTCTGTTCTCGTCCCTTCCGGCTGCCCTGGCACCCCCAGTGCCCCCAGACTGCACCCTGCAACTGCTCGTCTTCCGAAATGGCCGCCTCTTCCGCAGCCATGGAAACACCTCCCGCCCTGGAGCTGTGGGACCTGGCAAGAGGCGTGGTGTGGCCACACCGGTCATCTTTGCAGGAACAAGTAAGGGGCTGAGCTCAGGGTACCGCATGGGACCCCTCCTAAGTGCCTGCCCTGTGCCCCTTCATCCTGCCCTTCCCTCACCCACCAGCACCCCTACCATCCTGGTGGAGGTGGCAGAGTCCGGTGGCCCCTCCCCATTTCCAAGGAGGATAGAAACCCAGACGCCCATCAAGAAAGGGGCTGCTGGACAAAAGGTTCCGGAAGACACTGGATTTTATATCCCAGATTTGTCAAATTTCAAAGAGCCACAATTACAAACCCTTGACCCACCGGACTTCTCTCCGTCCCACCTTCCTAACCCGGTGCCAACTCTCCCTCTCAGGGGTGCCCTCCCGAATCGTCTCTTCACCTGGGCTTTCACTCCCTCAGCATTACTTCCTACCTTCTTGTCCTTGACCGCAGCCCTAGAGTCCTCTCTTGTAGGGCATGTCACCACCACTGTTTTAGTACTTAGAGCGGGCCACCTCCCAGTGCTTTTATTTTTACTTATTTATTTATAATCCTCACCCAAGGATATGTTTTTTTTATTATTATTCTTGATTTTAGAGAGAGGGAGAGGGAGAGGGAGAGGGAGAGGGAGAGGGAGAGGGAGAAAGAGAAAGAGAAACATCGATTGGTTGTCTCCTGTACATGCCCCAACCAGGGATCGAACCCACAACCTGGGTATGAGCCCTGACCAGGAATCAAACCTGCCACCTTTAGGTGTATGGTTCGACAACCCAACCAACTGAGCCACACCAGCCAGGGCCCAGTGCTTTTATTTTGATTCATTCTGGTGTCGCCCCAGTTAGACTGAGCACCTGGAGCCAGGCCCCCATTTGGTATCTGACTATATCCACACACACACACAGCCCAAGGGTGTCCCATGCCTGCTTGGCTGCTGCTTAGTTCCACCGGGCCAGCCCCCCACAGCCTCGTGTGTGCCTCTGTGGACTTCTCTCCCCCTGTAGGTGGCTGTGGTGTGGGAAACCTGACAGAACCAGTGGCCATTTCCCTGAGGCACTGGGCTGAGGGGGCCGAACCTGTGGCAGCTTGGTGGAACCAGGAGGGCCCCGGCGGGGCTGGGGGCTGGAGCTCCGAAGGCTGCCAGCTCCGAACCAGCCAGCCCAACGTCAGCTCCCTGCACTGCCAGCACCTGGGCAATGTGGCCGTGCTCATGGTGAGTACAGTAGGGTTGTGGGATGAGAAGGCCAGGGAACAGGAGAGGTGTGCGAGGCAGAGGCAGGGTTCTCCGATCACCCAGGGCCATATTGAAATAAAGGACGGCAGCCTTGTCAGGCCTCAAAACTGTCAGGACTTGGGGAAGTGTCCCTCTAGTCTCCCACACACTTTTCATCTTTCAGGAGATAGGGAGGTCCTGCTTCCACTCCCAGAATGAGTGGAACCACCCAGCCTGGTCTTCTGAGACCCAGTCTGCACTCCCTGAGATCCAGATTATTAAAGTGGGGAAAAAAGGACACTTCCCTCCTCACTCACCCCTATCTAGTTCCCCCTCCCTCAGCACATTTCACACCCTGCTTTCCCAGACCCTGAGCAGGCATGCAGCTGTATTATAGACAGAGACTTCCCCCTCTTTCCTCATCTCCTACTTCCAGGCTAGGGACCTGAAAAGTCCCCAGAAAGGCAGGCAGTAGATTATTAACACTATATGGGCCAACTTTCTAAGAGTGGATGTCATGGAACGTACGTACGCCTTTGCCTACGCAGATGGACTAAGCTGAGGACCCAAGCTGACCAGGCTTGGGAAGAGGAAAACTGGCCTAGGGCACTGAACTGGCCAGGACTCCATGGGACGGCCTCTGCTCCTGGATTCCTAGTACACACTTCCTCTTTCCCACTCTTTCAGGAGCTGAGTGCCTTTCCCAGGGAGGTGGGGGGATCGGGAGCAGGGCTGCATCCGGTCGTGTACCCCTGCACAGCCCTGCTGCTGCTCTGCCTCTTCTCCACCATCATCACCTACATTCTCAACCACAGGTGGGGACTCTTGGAGGAAGGGAAGGTGTGGTGGGAAGGCTGGGGGCGAGGGGGCTCACTAAGTACTGGCAAGTGTTCCTTTCCCAGGTAGGTCCACGTGACTTTCCTGGGCTCTTGCCTAGCATTTTATTGGAAGGTTCTGGGGTTGGAAAACACATTTTGTGGGTTAAGACCTTCCTTCCCTGGGGCCTGTATCACGTTCACGCACCTGCATGCACACAGATATCTGCCACGCCCCCTTTGGCCCTCCCCATGGCCTTGAGACCTCATGGGCCTGACCTTGGGCTGGATGGCCCATTAATTACTGTTTCTGGGGCAGCTCCATCCATGTGTCCCGGAAGGGCTGGCATATGCTGCTGAACCTGTGCTTCCACATGGCCATGACCTCCGCCGTCTTTGCAGGAGGCATCACACTCACCAACTACCAGATGGTCTGCCAGGCGGTAAGAGAAGGGGCTGGGGTGGGGGTTGGGGAGTTCCAAGATTAGTGATGGCAGCCTAGGCAGAAGGGAGGTGCAGGGGAGGAAAAAGAGGGCTCACACTAATAGGCCCCAGCTCCATTGTTCTCTCTGTGTCCATTCTAACTTGGGCAGGGGGAGTAGCATGAGAGTAGAAAGTGGTAAGAAGCAGAAAAACTAGGAGGTGGAGCTTCAAGGTGGAGAGTGGGGACCTGCAACAGAGGAGAGGTTGGGGACAAACCAGATAGCAGTAACAAGGTCATGGAGAGTCACCGGAGTGTGGGAAAAACCTGGGGAGAAGTAAAGAGGGTAATATCAGGGACAGAACCTGGGGGAGGATCTGGGTGGAGTTGGGGGTGGGGAACATGGGAGGAGTGGGAGAACACTGTGGGGCTGAGGCTCTGGCATGGCCCCAGTGGTAGCAGCCCAGTCCCATTGATCTGGTAGCAGTCCCAGCCTCAGCGCCTTGATCCCGCAGGTGGGCATCACTCTGCACTACTCTTCACTGTCCACACTGCTCTGGATGGGTGTGAAGGCCCGCGTCCTCCACAAGGAGCTCACCTGGAGGGCGCCCCCTCCACAGGAAGGGGACTCTGCCCCACCTGCTCCCCGTCCCATGCTCCGGTACATGCTTCCAGATACCAGCTTCATAGTGGGGAAGGGCTCAGAGGGTGCTGGTAGAACACCAAAATCAATTCTCCCAGGGTGGATGCAAGGTGGGTCCAAGGTCGTGGGAGACCACTGTCTAAAGACAGAAGAGTCAGGCCCTTGGTGGCACTAGGTTGCTGCAGGTCACGTAGTGGGTGCATCCTTAGGGCTTTTAAAGCATGACAAGGCCAGGGAAGGAAGTGACTACAATGCCAGGGAAGGGCACTGAGCAGGGAACCTGGAAACCCCCAACTTCTGTACTCAGGGTGAGAGAGAGCAGTTCTGGCCTCTGTCCCTTAGAACAGTCTTGGCCAAGTCCCCTAGGGATCTACCAAGCCTGCCCTGTAGGGGCCTTGCATCCCTGGCAAAGAATTCTGACAGAATTTAAAGAGGAAAGAAGATGGGACACAGACCCTGACTCAAGGGTTCTCTCACCTGGCTCCTCTCCCTTGTCCCCCATCTCTCTGACCCCCAAAACCCATTTACTTCCAGGTTCTATTTGATCGCTGGAGGGATCCCACTCATTATCTGTGGCATCACAGCTGCTGTCAACATCCACAACTACCGGGACCACAGCCCCTAGTGAGCACGCTGCCTGCCTGCCCCAAACCTACCCTCCCCAGCACCAGATGGCTTCTCCACTGGCAAGGGCACCTGCTGGGCTCACCCAGCCAGTGAGCCCACCCAAAGCCATGCATGTTGACTAAGCCAGTCTCTGCCTGTCAACTCACTGTATCCTCTGTGTCCCCAACCACCCAGCCTATGGGCCCAACCTCAGACTTGCTCCCCCTGCTCATCCACTGCCTGTGTCTCCCCTCAGCTGCTGGCTGGTGTGGCGTCCAAGCCTAGGAGCCTTCTACATCCCGGTGGCTTTGATTCTGCTGATCACCTGGATCTATTTCCTGTGTGCAGGGCTCCGTTTGAGGGGTCCTTTGGCACAGAGCTCAAAGGGGGTTACGAGCAGGGTCTCCCTGGACCAAGGGGAGGAGCTAAGGGGTTCCACCAGGCTCAGGAGCAGCGGCCTCCTCCTGAGTGACTCAGGTTCCCTTCTGGCCACTGGGAGCACTGGGGTGGTGACACCTGGACCCCCAGAGGATGGCGATGGCTTCTATTCTCCGGGAGTCCAGCTGGGGGCACTAGTGACCACACATTTCCTGTACCTGGCCATGTGGGCCTGTGGGGCTCTGGCAGTGTCCCAGCACTGGCTGCCCCGGGTGGTGTGCAGCTGTCTGTACGGAGTGGCAGCCTCAGCCCTGGGCCTCTTCGTCTTCACCCACCACTGTGCCAGGCGCAGAGACGTTAGGGCCTCCTGGCGCGCCTGCTGCCCCCCTGCATCGGCCTCGCGTGCCTCACCCCAAGCCGTGCCTGCAGCTCCAGAAGATGGTTCCCCAGTGTTCGGAGAGGGTCCCCCTTCCCTTAAGTCATCCCCAAGTGGCAGCAGCGGCCACGTGCCGCCCCCGGGCCCCTGCAAGCTCACAAACCTGCAGCTGGCCCAGAGTCAGGTGTGCGAGGCGGGGGTGGCGGCCCGTGGGGACGGGGAGCCAGAGCCCGCGGGCTCCCGGGGGAGCCTCGCCCCCCGCCACCCCAACAACCTGCCCCACGGGCGCCGAGTGCACAAGAGTCGGGCCAAGGGGCACCGCTCGGGGGAGGCGGGCAACAAGAACCGGCTCAAGGCGCTGCGCGGGGGCGCGGCGG